CAAGATCTATGGTTAAAATAATGTATGTGTTTTTTGCAATGCATTTAAAAGTAAAATTTAATATTTTAAATTTCGAATATGAAGGCGCATATTCAAATTATACGCTATGGCGCTATTTTCAAATTAAGAATATTAAGAATTTTGGTTAAAAGAATTGATGTGTTATTTGTATAAAATATTATACCTGTATCCTTCTATAAATTTTCAAAAATCGAATATATCGTGTCCGTGACAATTAACATGGAATATTCATGTTAACAAATCATAATCCATTGACAGCTGCCAAAATAAATCTTTGCGGGTCGAATATTCGTGACCCGACCCTTGGCGTGAAGCGTTATTCAATTACCGTATCACTCAAGTCAAAATTATTAATTCAATTTCGATGGTGATGTGCACTTAAGACACTTTGAAGTGTACTTAATTTTAGATAAGTGCTATATTATGTGAGAGGTAGGGGTGATATAGATTTAAAGGTTGCGCCCTTCTTTAGGTGTCAGGTAATAGTTTCTTAATAAATCTAATTTTACGATATAATATTATTTTATGTTAACTAAACGTAATGATTGAAATGTATATTTTTTTGAATTAAATATAATAATTCGAGACTTCAGACTATCACTCCTTTACTTAAAATGTATTTTGACACACTGTCTCGGCTCAGAATCTTACCTCGAGGTGACGTTATTAATATAATATTCAAGTTAGTCGAATTAATAAAATAAATAAATAAATCATCGGCGTTACAACCGTTTTAGCTCTAAGCTTCATATTTCTATATCTGTTTTATGAGCATTTGTCAATCTAATAAGGGGGGGGGGGGGGGGGGGGGGGGGGGGGGGGGGGGGGGGGGGGGGGGGGGGGGGGGGGGGGGGGGGGGGGGGGGGGGGGGGGGGGGGGGGGGGGGGGGGGGGGGGGGGGGGGGGGGGGGGGGGGGGGGGGGGGGGGGGGGGGGGGGGGGGGGGGGGGGGGGGGGGGGGGGGGGGGGGGGGGGGGGGGGGGGGGGGGGGGGGGGGGGGGGGGGGGGGGGGGGGGGGGGGGGGGGGGGGGGGGGGGGGGGGGGGGGGGGGGGGGGGGGGGGGGGGGGGGGGGGGGGGGGGGGGGGGGGGGGGGGGGGGGGGGGGGGGGGGGGGGGGGGGGGGGGGGGGGGGGGGGGGGGGGGGGGGGGGGGGGGGGGGGGGGGGGGGGGGGGGGGGGGGGGGGGGGGGGGGGGGGGGGGGGGGGGGGGGGGGGGGGGGGGGGGGGGGGGGGGGGGGGGGGGGGGGGGGGGGGGGGGGGGGGGGGGGGGGGGGGGGGGGGGGGGGGGGGGGGGGGGGGGGGGGGGGGGGGGGGGGGGGGGGGGGGGGGGGGGGGGGGGGGGGGGGGGGGGGGGGGGGGGGGGGGGGGGGGGGGGGGGGGGGGGGGGGGGGGGGGGGGGGGGGGGGGGGGGGGGGGGGGGGGGGGGGGGGGGGGGGGGGGGGGGGGGGGGGGGGGGGGGGGGGGGGGGGGGGGGGGGGGGGGGGGGGGGGGGGGGGGGGGGGGGGGGGGGGGGGGGGGGGGGGGGGGGGGGGGGGGGGGGGGGGGGGGGGGGGGGGGGGGGGGGGGGGGGGGGGGGGGGGGGGGGGGGGGGGGGGGGGGGGGGGGGGGGGGGGGGGGGGGGGGGGGGGGGGGGGGGGGGGGGGGGGGGGGGGGGGGGGGGGGGGGGGGGGGGGGGGGGGGGGGGGGGGGGGGGGGGGGGGGGGGGGGGGGGGGGGGGGGGGGGGGGGGGGGGGGGGGGGGGGGGGGGGGGGGGGGGGGGGGGGGGGGGGGGGGGGGGGGGGGGGGGGGGGGGGGGGGGGGGGGGGGGGGGGGGGGGGGGGGGGGGGGGGGGGGGGGGGGGGGGGGGGGGGGGGGGGGGGGGGGGGGGGGGGGGGGGGGGGGGGGGGGGGGGGGGGGGGGGGGGGGGGGGGGGGGGGGGGGGGGGGGGGGGGGGGGGGGGGGGGGGGGGGGGGGGGGGGGGGGGGGGGGGGGGGGGGGGGGGGGGGGGGGGGGGGGGGGGGGGGGGGGGGGGGGGGGGGGGGGGGGGGGGGGGGGGGGGGGGGGGGGGGGGGGGGGGGGGGGGGGGGGGGGGGGGGGGGGGGGGGGGGGGGGGGGGGGGGGGGGGGGGGGGGGGGGGGGGGGGGGGGGGGGGGGGGGGGGGGGGGGGGGGGGGGGGGGGGGAGGGGGGGGGGGGGGGGGGGGGGGGGGGGGGGGGGGGGGGGGGGGGGGGGGGGGGGGGGGGGGGGGGGGGGGGGGGGGGGGGGGGGGGGGGGGGGGGGGGGGGGGGGGGGGGGGGGGGGGGGGGGGGGGGGGGGGGGGGGGGGGGGGGGGGGGGGGGGGGGGGGGGGGGGGGGGGGGGGGGGGGGGGGGGGGGGGGGGGGGGGGGGGGGGGGGGGGGGGGGGGGGGGGGGGGGGGGGGGGGGGGGGGGGGGGGGGGGGGGGGGGGGGGGGGGGGGGGGGGGGGGGGGGGGGGGGGGGGGGGGGGGGGGGGGGGGGGGGGGGGGGGGGGGGGGGGGGGGGGGGGGGGGGGGGGGGGGGGGGGGGGGGGGGGGGGGGGGGGGGGGGGGGGAGGGGGGGGGGGGGGGGGGGGGGGGGGGGGGGGGGGGGGGGGGGGGGGGGGGGGGGGGGGGGGGGGGGGGGGGGGGGGGGGGGGGGGGGGGGGGGGGGGGGGGGGGGGGGGGGGGGGGGGGGGGGGGGGGGGGGGGGGGGGGGGGGGGGGGGGGGGGGGGGGGGGGGGGGGGGGGGGGGGGGGGGGGGGGGGGGGGGGGGGGGGGGGGGGGGGGGGGGGGGGGGGGGGGGGGGGGGGGGGGGGGGGGGGGGGGGGGGGGGGGGGGGGGGGGGGGGGGGGGGGGGGGGGGGGGGGGGGGGGGGGGGGGGGGGGGGGGGGGGGGGGGGGGGGGGGGGGGGGGGGGGGGGGGGGGGGGGGGGGGGGGGGGGGGGGGGGGGGGGGGGGGGGGGGGGGGGGGGGGGGGGGGGGGGGGGGGGGGGGGGGGGGGGGGGGGGGGGGGGGGGGGGGGGGGGGGGGGGGGGGGGGGGGGGGGGGGGGGGGGGGGGGGGGGGGGGGGGGGGGGGGGGGGGGGGGGGGGGGGGGGGGGGGGGGGGGGGGGGGGGGGGGGGGGGGGGGGGGGGGGGGGGGGGGGGGGGGGGGGGGGGGGGGGGGGGGGGGGGGGGGGGGGGGGGGGGGGGGGGGGGGGGGGGGGGGGGGGGGGGGGGGGGGGGGGGGGGGGGGGGGGGGGGGGGGGGGGGGGGGGGGGGGGGGGGGGGGGGGGGGGGGGGGGGGGGGGGGGGGGGGGGGGGGGGGGGGGGGGGGGGGGGGGGGGGGGGGGGGGGGGGGGGGGGGGGGGGGGGGGGGGGGGGGGGGGGGGGGGGGGGGGGGGGGGGGGGGGGGGGGGGGGGGGGGGGGGGGGGGGGGGGGGGGGGGGGGGGGGGGGGGGGGGGGGGGGGGGGGGGGGGGGGGGGGGGGGGGGGGGGGGGGGGGGGGGGGGGGGGGGGGGGGGGGGGGGGGGGGGGGGGGGGGGGGGGGGGGGGGGGGGGGGGGGGGGGGGGGGGGGGGGGGGGGGGGGGGGGGGGGGGGGGGGGGGGGGGGGGGGGGGGGGGGGGGGGGGGGGGGGGGGGGGGGGGGGGGGGGGGGGGGGGGGGGGGGGGGGGGGGGGGGGGGGGGGGGGGGGGGGGGGGGGGGGGGGGGGGGGGGGGGGGGGGGGGGGGGGGGGGGGGGGGGGGGGGGGGGGGGGGGGGGGGGGGGGGGGGGGGGGGGGGGGGGGGGGGGGGGGGGGGGGGGGGGGGGGGGGGGGGGGGGGGGGGGGGGGGGGGGGGGGGGGGGGGGGGGGGGGGGGGGGGGGGGGGGGGGGGGGGGGGGGGGGGGGGGGGGGGGGGGGGGGGGGGGGGGGGGGGGGGGGGGGGGGGGGGGGGGGGGGGGGGGGGGGGGGGGGGGGGGGGGGGGGGGGGGGGGGGGGGGGGGGGGGGGGGGGGGGGGGGGGGGGGGGGGGGGGGGGGGGGGGGGGGGGGGGGGGGGGGGGGGGGGGGGGGGGGGGGGGGGGGGGGGGGGGGGGGGGGGGGGGGGGGGGGGGGGGGGGGGGGGGGGGGGGGGGGGGGGGGGGGGGGGGGGGGGGGGGGGGGGGGGGGGGGGGGGGGGGGGGGGGGGGGGGGGGGGGGGGGGGGGGGGGGGGGGGGGGGGGGGGGGGGGGGGGGGGGGGGGGGGGGGGGGGGGGGGGGGGGGGGGGGGGGGGGGGGGGGCGCCCCCCCCCCGGGCGGGACCCCGGGGGGGCGCCCCCCCCGGGGCCCCCCCCCCCCCCCCCGGCCCCCCCCCCCCCCCCCCCGCCCGGCCGGGGGGGGGGCCCCCCCCCCCCGGGGGGGGGGGCGGGGCCCGGGGGGGGGGGGGGGGGGGGGGGGGGGGGGGGGGCGCCCCCCCCCGGGGGGGGGGGGGGGGGGGGGGTTGTTTTGGGGGGGGGGATTTTTTTTTTGGTGGGGTATGGGTGGGTTTTTTTTTTTTGGTGGGGTTTGGGGTGGGGAGATTTTTTTTTTTGGTAAGCAGTTGTTTTTGTGTTGTGTTGTTTTTTTTTTGTTTTGTAGGGTTGTTTTTTTTAAAATCTTTTTTTGGTCTTTTTTTTGGGGGGGGGGGTTGGCCTAGAGGGGCGGGCTGCTTAAAAATTTGTTTTTTGGGTTTTTTTTTCCCCAGGGTTGGGGGGGGGGGGGGGGGGGGAGTTTAAAAAAAAAAAAAAAAAAAAAAAAAATAAGCAAGTAGATCAGCTTCCTGTGACTGACACACGCCGTCGACTTTAAGGCAAGCCGATTTTTCCCGATATATTCCTTCACCGTTCGAGCAATTGTTAAATGCCCTCTTAGAAAGAAAGTCCATTGGTGCACAGCCGGGGATCGAACCTACGACTTCAGGTATGAGAGTCGCGCGTTGAAGCAACTAGGCCAATAAACAAAAAAAGCACTGAATACTGCACTGCTCGAAGGTTTGAATCGCAAATGTCAGCAAGTAAAAGACTGGAATAACCTCAATATAACTTACTTGTTCCAGCATAGTAGACTGTGTAATCCAATTGATGGCCCATCATGTCCACCTTGACGCGGTCTACCACCAGCCTCGTGAAGAACAGGTCTCGTTTGTAGTAAATCGGCTTTTCGTGTTCATGAGACACAGCGCTATCCATCAACGGGTGGGATCTGAAATGAAAGAGATCTTGGTTTATCTCTACTTTATCTTGTTTCTTGGAACTTTTAATTATATTTTTATAATTGTGTCCAATATTTCCGTTTTATATATTATTTATTTATACATTCTAAAACAATACAAATTTAACACACATATACATACACATCAATTACATTAGAACAAGAAATCTATCAAAGGAAAAATTAAACAAACAACCACAAAATAAAAAATAAAAAAAAACAAAACAAAAAAGAAATGAAAATTAAAATTAAAATAAATGAAAATTAAAAATCAATAATAACTAAAACAAAAAAGATAAAAAAGAACAATAAAATATATATAAACAAAACTAAATGAAAATTTAAACCACATTAAGAGCCTGCAAAACAAAGTTACGGTAAGTTGGTAGACTGTTATGAACACATCAATATTTTCATCAATGTTTGTAATTAAGTTGTAAGAGCGAGATAGCCGATTTCTCTCGACCATTAAAAGTAGCAGATAAGCGAGCCATAGGTACGTATATAATCTATGGGATCCTCCTGGAAATATGTGCAATAATATATCTATTTGATTGCTCAAGATAGAGAGAGATGGAGCCAGTTGGAGGCCTATACTCTACAAAAGGTCCTTTAAAAAAAATATGTTTATTTATTCATTAAAGTTTACCACATCATACATAATATCTACGGTATATGTTACAAACGCTTTTATCTAAAATATATGACAATTTACGAAAACATAAATGTTACAAAAAATATATACAAGATAAAATCAAAATACCAGAATTACAGCGGAGAGAACAACAGCAGATTATGTACGAGATAGGCACTTAACAATGCTTTCTTTAAAATTGATCAGCCCATTACCGAATATATCCAGCTCCGGATAAGTACTGTTTAATCCGTTACAATCGCGAAGAATTCGAAAGAGATGTGCCTGAACTCCTTGGTTTTGCAGACGCAAATGTCTAGTGGTTAGTACCCCTGACTGCGAATCCATGGGTTCCGGGTTCGATCCCCGGCTGAGACAAACATCGATGTGATGAGCATTTGGTGTTGTGCTTAGGTCTTGGGTGTTTAAATATGTATTTATATGTCTATCTATCTATAATATGTATGTATATCCGTTGCCTAGTACCCATAACACAAGCTTCACCAGCTTAGCATGGGATTAGGACAATTGGTGTGAATTGTCCAATCATAAAAAAAAAAATGTGGCAATGAGTAAGGAATGGACAATGTTAAGGTCTTGTTAGTAAAGTGAGAGTATCTTTAGTAAAGATGGATGAATGTTTAAAGGAATAAATGAGGCTTATTAATATTAAATATTATTTCCGTATTTATCGTTTATATATATTTTTAAATCTGTTTCTTAAAATTTGAAAGAGATTGCTCACTTACAATTCTCATTGAGTGAATATTTTCATAATAATTATTGTATAATGCGTAATGCAAATAATGTGTTTTTTTATAGGCAGGCAGGAGGCTTATTTCATGTTGTTTAAGTGATACCGCCGCCCATGGATGTACACCCTCAATGCCAGAGGGCTCGCTAGTGCGTTGCCGGCCTTTTAAGAATTGGTACGCTCTTTTCTTGAAAGGACCCTAAGTCGAACTGTTCGTTTATTTCCACAATCCAAGTGTAAATATTTAGTTCCTAATTGTCAACGATCACTTGCTAAGAAAACTATAATTAAAGGTATTTTCGTACTGAAATATGATATAACACTTCAAACGTATTTACGTAAATTGCCTGCGTTATGCGATAATGTCAAACGCAATCCGACACGGACAGCATTAAACCATTTCAACAATCCACTCATTTAATTAAAATTTCCACTGAATTGTTATTCCCATGTTTCAGGTGAAGTGTAAAAATCTCAGCGTTTCCACGTAAAGTGTGGAAAAAAAATAATTGAACGCTCGCCGTGAGTGCGGTAATTAAGAGTACGTGTCGCTAGATAAAAGTGAGGCTCAAGTGTCTGCCAACTGGCAACACTGTATGCGATGGCGAACTTTGTTTATGTACGTCAACCGTAATGCGCTGTACGTGTCTTGAGACAGATTGTAATTGCCAGACGCGAAAATGATCCTTTATACGTGTAATACAAGAGATTGTTTTGATGGCGTTCATTAGTAAGCAGGCACTTGTGTGCTATTTTTAAAGAGGTGTACATAAAACTGCAAAAAAGTTGCTGTATGCTGTGAATATCGTTTTTCTCTGTGTCAAATTAAAATAGAGGACTGTCAATGGTCTATAATAGTTGGGCTCCTTATATACGTACCTTAAAAATTAAATGTTGCAAACACAAAAACAAAATAAAACTTTATTTACTTAACTAAGGATTATAGTATGTTAATAAATCATGTAGTCATGGTCAAAGGTCGCACTGAAAATTGCTAAAATACAAATCTGCTTTAAAACTATACTGGTGGTTATTTGTGACAATCAAAATCCTAGCGTGAAACCCCAACTAAATTCTCCGATACCAACATGTAAAATTCTTACCGTATAAAATTAAGAACAGTGTCCGGCAACGACGAGGTGTCATTGACGCAGGTGCCAGGTCTGGGTTCTGGTACTTTGCTGCTGATAACTGGCAGCCAGGCGGAGCTAGACGTGGCTTGCTCCTTGAATTTACCCTCAAATGCTTTTTGGATGTCTCCTATTGTAAAAGTGCATATTGCGGATCCCATCAGACCAGTGGATGCGGTGGTGAAGACTCCATAGAAGCGGTTATCGTCACCAGGTACTTTGTAAATGCTTTCTGTGGACAAAGATAAATATTTATTACACTGTAACTATTTTTTATTTAGAAGCTTAGCCTACAAGCATATTTGTGGCCCAGCTCTTAATACACTGGCTAGCTCTTTTTTAAGTTATACTTCTTTTGGCGCGTTAGGGAAAAATGATGAGAGTAAATTTTTACGATGCACGCGCATACCGTCACAAAAAACCGACACCCTGAATGTCTGTTAAAACGTCGGTAAAACAGTCTGGGCCGCTAGTTGGCGCTTGCTCTGTTTTATCGAAAAGTTGCATTGTCTGTCATGGCGTAGTGTTTTTCAGAGTCGTGTTTATTTAAAACAAAATAATGATTTTTGTACGAGAAAACCCGTTCCAATGTGATATAAAACATAGTGTTTATTGTAAAATATCTGCAATTCGAAGAGGGAAAAGTCCCTCTAAAGTGCTCGAAGAAAATTATTACGCCAAAGTATAACTTAACTAAGTACATAAGTACACACACGTTTTTTTGCCTCATTGTGGTTACGTTGCGATGAAAAAAGACACATTGTTATTACAAGACTGATTTAGTTTTTATATATAAGGAAAATTATAATTAGCTATATTACAGTATATCAGAGAAGTTATTTCACAATAATGCGGGCGGATGAGCGAAAGTTCGCGCCCCAAACACATTGTAAACTCAAATAGGTTAATAAAGATTTTATTTATTTTATTATCGGAGCAGAAATTAAATTTGCTCTTAAACGTAACGGCAAACATAAAACAGATGGGGTATTCTATTCAGGTCCTGTTTCGCATTTAATGTGTCCCGCGGGAGTCGGGCTGAAATTCAGAAAGCGTACTCGGCTGCGGATTAGGCGTTATATTAGTTAAAGGAATCCTTACTCGGGTTTAATTGATTTTCTATTGTTTTGTATTATTAATGTTGGGAGGGATATATTTGTCTATGTACTTGATGTTACTTCAATATTCATGATTGTTGAAACCTCATATGATGTTTTGTCTTTATAATTCCTGTTATTTTTAACTTGTTTTGAAGCTTTGGATTTAACTAATTGATTAATAGTGTTACATATAAATGGTATTCTGTCAACAGCGATAGTAAAATTATCACTTAAAAAACTGTGTGTATGTTGAAATTAAAGAATGTGTCAAGTGATATGGTAGCGTTTATAGAAACTTATTTATTAGGTAAATACGGGGACAGAAATGTAATTTATACAATAAATACAAGGCTTGTAGTACATACATAATAGTAATAACCAAAATAGTTACACTACTATTAACTATCACACTATTAAACTGTTGGACCTCCCAAAACCATTTATATGATCCACCAAAAAGCATAGAATAATAAAGAAACACTTGGCTTAGCCCCATGTGCAACAGTGTACCAACCATATTAATAATAATAGCATTTTATTTGAGATACGTTTACTTTTACTTAAACACATTTTCTATCATATCTTTTTAAATCTGTGTGCCCTTTTTTGGGAAAGGCCGGCTCCAAATCCTGTCGGTACTGTGCCACTCTCTGCCATGTACCATTTAAACATTTATAAATAGTCATTGTACGATTCCTGGGTCATCGGGGTGCTTTAAATAATAGAGGATTTTATTTTCACTCTATATTACCCGCTCACGTACAACAATAGAATATAAGCGAAATAATGAAATGTTAATTGCTATGTAAGAGCAGCGTTGGCCTAGTGGCTTCAGCGTGCGACTCTCATACCTGAGGTCGTGATCCCAGGCTGTGCACCAATGGTCTTTCTTTTTATTGCTATTTAACATTTGCTCGAACGGTGAAGGAAAACATCGTTAGGAAATCGATGGCGACGTCGACGGCGTGTGTCAGGCACTGGAGGCTAATCAGTAATCACCTACTTGATTTAAAAATGATCATGAAACAGATTCAGAAATCTGAGGCGAATACCTAAAGAGGTTATAGCGCCACTGATTTATTTATTTAATTGCTATGTAACGAATGCAATGTGACAGTCGAAGAGAGTGCCTGCGTCTGGCTATTCTTTCGGGGTATAACTCTGACGAGTTAGGAAATCGCCACGCTTATAAAGAAAGCCTGAGTGAGCAAAATGTACAGCCTTGGCTCGTACAGTCATATAAACGCGTTCATCAAAGTATACAATTATACAATATACGTAATCTAATTTATTACAAACCCAATAACAATTATTCTGAACGTCAGTTTGCGATCCAATTAATTTTAACTATTGCGGCTGTCAAACTTCACTCGAAAGTTACTATGATTAGTTCTAAGATAGTGGATGTCGCTTAAGCGTACAATGTTTGAATAATATTGGTATCAAGGCGGGCTTAATTTGACACATGCTATACGGATATCTTGGATCAATATCGTACATTGATATTTGGGAGAAACTTAGACTCAGAACATCTCAGATTTATATATGTGTTTAATTTATTTATATTATATCAGCCTTCTGTGTTCGAAGATCTTCAATCTTTGGATCCAGAAATTTCCATCATATACATCCCATATGTAGAAAGAAGCCGTGATTTGAGTACACGATCTCAGGGTCGACCGCTTAACTTCTAGACTATAAAGCGTGAAATACGTTCTTTAAAAATAATGATTCCACACAATGTTCATGTCTGTTCAACAACAAACCTTCATCTAGATTTTATTTTAGAATAAGAAGCACAACTGTTTATATAGATTTAATTTTAGAAAATTAAAAGTTTTCACATCAGTTTATGATTCAAGTTTTCACCTTAGTTTCACTTAGTCAAACAAGTCAACCATATAAGCTTAGAAATAACTATTATAGGAGAAAGTGCTAACTTTTTATCAAAATAATTTTTTAACGTTAAAGAAATTTTATTTAATTTTGTGTCGGGAGGTTGTATCTAATAACTATAGCAGAAAAGCACTTCAAAATTTTCTATTAAAACATAAAACAATTTAGCATTTATACAAGTTAAAGATGTTCGCGTAAAACGCATTTTTATATTAAAATGTTTTAAATTATTACATTATGAAAAAAATACATTTGCCTCTTACGGTCATAAATAACATTCGTATTAAAATGAGAAAGGCGTAAACGATGTTTTGGGAAAAGGCGGGAACATATTTTACAAACATAACACGAAACAGTTGTCAAAACGAAAGCTTAGCGCGTGTCGACTACAAATATAATTTATGTTTTCTTTTTAATTCTTATCTACGCTATTTTTGTTTAGTGGGACAACGTAATTCGTATTAGATAATATTCATTAGTTTACCAATGAATAAAGATTACAAAGCATGGGTATAATATATAAATAATTAACTTAATCAGCGGTTGAGAGAGCTTTAATTTTCTTTCATGAGGAGCGTGACGTAATGGTTGCAGGTGCTTACAAATAAAAAACAACCTTGATTTAAAATTGTTACGGAGAGTATTGCCAGTTCTTTTCGTTCTACGCCCGTGATTGATTGGCAGTAAATTTAAATTTAGAACTATTTTTTTTATTGACGTTCATAAGTCATTAAGTTACCTATATGATGAAATGATCGTTTAATCCCGTACATTCTTGGTCATTTAAAGGTATATACATAACAACTTTTTGTTGATCTGAATTATATATGTTTTTTTAGATGAATATGATTTCTCAAACATATAAAATCGCGATTAAAATATCATTTCTCGGAGATTGATTCCACGTGTTTCGAGTTCAACACAGAAAGCTTGATCAACTGAGACATGAGTTACCATTTAACGATATCCCGGAATAAATGTGCCCCTTATTTATTCATATGGGTGGATGGATGAAAATGTCTTAGTAATCAAGCAGAATCAATCCAATAAGAAAATCTGAGTTTCATGGGTTCGTGTTTCAGGGAAGAAAATCCTCTCGATGCGTATGGAATACACCATGTGAAGAGCTGAGCAGTGTTTATTTAGAGGCTTGAGCGGGTGCCTCTTAATCCTGAGGTCGTACATTTGAATCACGGTTGACCATTTGACCCATGAACTTTTCTTTTTATGTGCACAGTTAAACTCAAACTCAAACTGAAGAAAGTCCATTAGTACACAGCCGGGGATCGCCCTCAGGGATGAGAGTCGCACGCTGAAGCCATAAGGCCAACACTGCTCGCCATGCTACGAGTAGTCACTAAAAGAACTGAAAAATTTAAAAAAGCCTTGCTCGGTATTCACAATAACAGTATCATGCAATAAAAATAAGTGCTTTCAAGTGAATTATTCAAACGGAAAATGCTTAAAAATCGCGCATATTCATAATTACCTTTCATTTAATGCACGTGTTCTAGTTTTTTCCATCTATAATAGTCTATTTATATCATAGCCATTATGTCTGAATCTAGGTCGTTATTATCGTGAATAAAAATCCTTCCTTTAAAGTGCACATTGTAGCTTAATTTCAATCTAAAGATGCCGAAGCGTAGCGCTGAGAATACTGTTAAAAACGTAAAGGCTTTAGACTTATGAAGGTCTGCGCTAAGTTTCGTCTCTGAATCTCAGCCCAAGTCTATTTAGGTTTTGTTTACTAACTAATCTGTCATAAGACCTTTATCGTCTCAAGAAAAGTATATTGGTAACTCTAATGTTTATAATTTATTCTTAACAATTTTATGATGATTAAAACCTGGGTCTTTGTCAATATGATAGGTGGTATAATCAATAAATGAGCCAGCGACAACAAACAAGCTTTTAACAAAATCACAAATTAGAATTATATAATTTATGTTAAAATTTATAAAATGTTAAATGCTTTTAAAATAAAATAATATGTGATACAAATAAGTACGTCTATCACTTTTAAACATATTTCTTTTTTATCACAATTTATTTAGCTTAATTGAGTGAAGAACCTCCTATTACAGCCTCATAAGTAATGCACGCAATGCAGGGTACAGCGTTAGAAGCTTGTTAATATTATATGAAGATGGGATTCTAGAATTGGCCGTGCTTAAATCTCTATGCACCATTGAAACTCCGTATTTGTACGGGATTGACAATCAATATTTGCATTGCCGAAGGGGAGTGTAGTTAAATTTAAATCTGTGAATGTTTAAGATCGCTTAAGTCGGACAAACTTGTTGACTTTTGTGAGCGTATATTGATTTTTGAGTTTCCGAATGTTACATTGTAAATACAGATTTATTTTGTATGAAAAACGAATGTCTATATAAAAATAGGCTATAGAATAAGTAATTTTATTATAGAAACAACTTGATTGCTAATTTAAGACAAGGAGAATTTTAGAAAGAATCACTATGATTTCAACAAAAGAGTATTTATATATTCACATCTAAATGAAAAATAGAAATTCTTACTAATTAGAGTATTTAATTGATACTCTTTTATCAGAGTGGGTATATATGTTTGCACCTCTTCAGCACCAACGTTATTTTTTTATAGAACAGAGACTAAACGGGTAGGAGGTTCATCTGATCTTAAGTGATACCGCCGCCCATGGACAATCAATACCAGACGGCTTGTAAGTGTTTTGCCAGTATTTGAGGAATAGGCACTCTCTTGGTATTGGATCGGAAATACCTCGGCGGGCTGCTTGTTCCACATAGTGGTGGTGAGCGGCTAAATATGCCTTAAATACGCTCAGTTGTGGAAGGACGTCGAGGTGATATCGCGTAATCGAAGCCTATACTTAGCAATCGTTATTGGTGCATCTTTTGAACGCAAATTTAATGTGCCCCATATTGGATTTAGCAGTTAAATTTAAATGCACTCAAAATAATCATATTTTATTGGGATTTATACATCAATCATTTAATCTCATAAATTCAATCTGACTGGCTATTGTGACCAATACCTGGTGTCCATTAAAAGGTTTAAGTTGAACACATGTTGTTCCGGTAATTCCAAGAATATATTTATTTTATATTATAATATAATCTACACATCGAAGGTGTTTTAAATTAGAAAGACGTAAAAATTCGGTATTGTTTTTGTAATAATCATTAAACGGAAAATACACGCTCGTAATAATTCGAAATTGAGAAAATTACCATCTAATGGGTTCAACACTCCATTCTTAACTGATGTTGTGGGTTCGAATGAATTTCTCACTAATTGCATAAACTTACAACTCTTGCTTGTATGACGCAGTAAGGATCAGCTATCCTGCTTCAAAAATAGAATCCAACAAAGAGTTGTTTATGAAAGCTTTATATTATAAATAAAATAATAATACTTACGTATTTCATTAAAGTAGAATGGAAACTCTCCAGGAATACTGCAGTTGAGTCTGGCTTTCAGATAAGTAGCCCAGTTCTGGCTGAGTATATTCTTGCCCCCAGTATCACGTTTGCAGACTCTTGCTACTCGGGAGTAGACTGCCTTTCCACAGTTTATGTATTCTACCGCTGTCTCACGAAAGAAGAACAAGACGTATTCGCCAACGTCGAAGGATCCAACGAAGTTCGGTTCTAGAAAAATATACAGTATACTATTAGTTCTGCTATTAATTAATCTCTTAAATTATGATTTAATAATTATTGTTTAAACTATTTCGTTACTAAATTTATACAGAAGCAAACAAAAACTGGAACTTACAAGGCCAACTTTAAATTCGCGTTTTTATTAAGATATTTTTATAATAATACTAGCAGACCGGCCAAGCGTTGCTGTGGCTAAGGTTTTTGTTATATTACATAGTAGCAAACTATTCGAGGGAAACGGTAGGAGAACACCAGTCATGGGGACCACCATGCTTTTTTGGTAGTTATGCCATTAAATTGAAGCTTATGTGAAACGTTGGTACTTTCGACACACGCCATCTGTTAGAATTGTGACTATTAAATAATAAACAAATACTTTGCAATAAAATAATATTGCGGGTATAAATTGAGATGTAAGCTATCCTATCTTTTAAGTTGGATCAAACTACACACGGTGTACAAATGTGATTGATATCGGTTTGGTAGTTTAGGAGTCCATAGCGGACAATCAACGTGACACGTAATTTATATATACGTATATTAAGATAAAAGCTGGTAAATTGAAGGAGTCAAAAATAAGGTAGATCATATCTTTGATTTACGAGAATATTTTATATACAATATTTTTTAATGATTTAAGCGTAAACACAGTGATTTAATGGTAAATAATATAAATATGTAATTTTTGCTTTTTTCCTTTACTTTTATATAATCTAAAGATTTTAAATACACATAATAGTCTTTTAAATATACATATACAAGTCTATCAGGAAAGCACACTTGAAAGGTGCTTTCCTGATAGACTTGTATATTTCCGAAATGTGATAATAATAGGGAGTAAATGTGTCCGATTGTCATGAAGATTTAAATCAAATATAAAAGGTATTAATTTAATCATACGTGGTAATAAAGTTGGCCGGCTATAGTATCAAATTTCTATTATTCCGTGATATGCAATAAATATTAGATGAAGCGATGTCTCTATTATACCCGATAGAGGGCGTTCATAATAAGCACTCATTTGCCGGCTCGGAATGAAATCGACACGTGTTAAGGATTAAATACAAGCTATTTCTATGCAATAAAAGCTTTCCCACCAGTGAAATTAAATGCGAGACTTACATCCCAATAAGCCTTGGAATATTAGTAGCGATAAATTATTCGGAGTCGTAATTAGCACGGGTTCCAAAGAATAGTCTAATTTAAAATATTCAAATGCCTTGGGACCAAAATTCACATATATTTCTCAAAGCATTCTAACAGTCTTGAGTGCTTAATTGTTAGGTTAGAAGTAGTTCCTTATAAAATATTATGGGCACCGACAGAAAAAAAATCCTTTTATATAATAATGAAATGAGTAGTCCACTTGCAAACCCAGTTAAGTCAATTCAGCAATTAATTGAGAAAACTAATTAAAACGATTAGTCTTAAAAATACGACATTAAGATGCATTTTTTGTGTACTACATGAACTTAGTAGAACATCGAACTAAATTATTTCATATATCAAAGAAAATCACTGTTTCATAATAATCATTTAATACGCATTTTTAAATTAAACATGATTGTTTTGCAATCTGTCTCTGTAGGAATTTTTGAAGCACTGAAGCACTGGCCAGTTGCTGGTATGAAAAGTAATGTGTTAATAAAACCTCAATAATATAACTTCAACTGAAATAATTAACATAAATATTTTGCACATTTCAATTTTGTAGTGCACGCAAATAATATCACGAACAGTAATTTTATTATGCACTCATTATATTAATTACAAGAACAGCAATAAAAATACAAATAACACGATATTTGGCAAAGCGAAATTTACCGTCGCATAATTTCTATACGGAGAAACAAATTAACGAAAGATTGGAGGCATATAACCGTTCATTAGAGCGAAAACGGTCTAATTTCGATTGTTTAGCGTAACATGGAACAATTTCTGTTTAATTCGTATAATACCCATGACTGGAACAATTATTGTTCTAATGATAAGCGCTCGTGGTTAGCTCCCAATAGCTGACTTTAATGATTATCAATTAATTTGACGTAAATTAGTAGCGTTCAACACTTGCTCTAATGAAATGGAGAAATTAATGCTTTCGCTATGTAATTAGGTTACGGGTTCTGGAATTGATTATTTCTATCATTTATGAAGTAATGATATAATATGACTATAAATTTCAATTAGATTATTATGAAATTTAATTGCTGTTATGTTTTATGACCTATGTGAGAAAATATAATACGGAGTTTTTTGTAATAGTTTAGAGTCTACATTATGATAAAGTGATTTCGCCGTGACACTATCGGGTATGTTGCCTGCCTTTTAAGAATCGGTATGCTCTTTTCTTGAAGGACCAGAGGTCAAATTGGTTCGGAAAGACTTTAGTACAGTTGTTTCCACATAGTTGTGGTACGCGGCTAAACGAAACGTAAAACCCACAGTTGAGAACAAAATATTCAACGTATACTTACTGTCCAGCCATTTGGAATCGTATTTGAGAGTTCGCTTGAAGGAAAACTCCCGTCTGCCCGTAGTAAGGTTGTGTAGGTCGGTTCTAAAAATGACCGTGTCAGCCTTTGTGAATTCGGCGTTGGTGCCGGAGTACAAAGCGGGCAGTGAGCCAGGGTTGCCTTTTTCCACCCACAGCGCCGTGGAGTTGTCCGCCGGGTCGTAGGGGCACTTCGCGACGCCCATACCGATCCCCGGCACGTACTCGTGTCGAGGCAGGTGCGTCAGGTTCGACTACAACAAAACAATACCGTTTATTTTTATAGACGCTCCGAATACCTGTATAACGCGTAAATAGCCATTTGCATGGAATTGCTTTCCAACCCTCGTTCTGAAACAGCCGTAAAAAGTTAAATATTAAAAAATGTTACGCGCAAACACTTCGATTTTTATGCGCTATTAATCAAAGGCGTTTTGAAAAACACATCTAACGAGTGGATTTATGTGTCTGCCGTAACTGCCCTCGCACTTGAAAACACATTTGCTATTAATTTTACTTAAAACTCCATGTCCGTTTCACGTCCGAACGATTTATTGACCGAAGCGTATTTAAAAAGACGCTTGAATATTTTTCAACATGACGTCCTGCGGTCTCCTCTATTAGTATAATGCGATGGGTGGCAGGACCGTTTTCAAAATTATCATAAAATTACTAAATGTAGCATAAACGTGGGGTGGGCAGTGAGGTTCGCCGGCGTGGATTGAGACTTTATGTAAATTTTAACGATGCCGCGACCATCGGAGGCACCTGTGACCCGCACGTCCCTTCCCCCGCTTCACCTGACGAAAACCTATGTCGTTTTTATTTCAATAAGCCGAGGATTAAATTAGACTGGAGGAGGCACCCGCTGTTACCGCCCGCTGGGCGCCCCGGGCTTTCCCTCATTCAGTGTAAGTTAAAGATCAAGAAAGATCTTAAACAAACGATTTAGCATGTCGACACGCCACACAATAGCGTTTAACCCACTTCTGAGCGCACGAAACATCTTATTTGGTAATTCCATGTAAAAAGGGTGCAGAATTTTTTAAAGGGTGTGAAAGTAACAATTGTTACAAGGCTTGCAAACAAGATGGTAAGTAGGTACATTATTTTACGGCGAGGGCAAAGAAAGTCCAGAATAAACAAGCAAATGGATCGGACGGAAAAGCTCGGGGTCTTCCCCTGTAGAATAAGAAACTTTGTGGACACCCGCAACCTTCATTAGACCCTTGCTTTGTTTGTTTACGAAATTACCATCTTTAAAGCTTTTCAGTGACGGAATGAGGCGTCCGGTGGCGGTAATGATTACGCATTGAGTGAAAGTTGGCCTGAGGACTTACATCTCTGTACCCTAATTTAAATATTGTGCTGGTATAAATTCTTTGATTAAACATTTCGAAGTTTTATGTAGATATATCATTATAAATTTTCTTTTGTATTGCATCGCCATTCATGAATCCGTGTGTTTAGCTTTATAGATTTTAGTTTGTTTTATTCAGATTTTGCTTTGTATTACTTAAGATTAAGGTTCCATATTTTTTTTAATATAACATTTGATTATGCACTTCTTGCACTTTACTCATCATATTTCTTTTTTTAGTTTTTCCCTTACTAGGATTGCCTGGAAGAGATCGCTTGTTAGTGATAAAGCCGCCCGTTGCATCCCTTATAATTTTTATGCATAGTGTTATTTGTGTTTTATTTTACTGCAATAATGTGAATAAATAAATAAATAAAAATCATCTTTTGGGCATGTGTAATTTGAATACACAAAAGATTTCCTTCCATACATTGTAAATTAAAGTTACTTAGTACATTGAACTATAGAAACGACGAATTTAATAATATAATAATTCTAGTTTTTGCTGTCTAGCGTCTGAAATATTAACTTGAGATCAAAGAATGAGGTGTCTAAACTACGTTAAAAGCGTTTGAGCATATAAGATCATTTACTTTGATGTCAAAAATGCAAATTGAAACTTAATACATTTCGTAAATTATATTCGAACCCCTAGCTTTCGAGCACACAAAGGCTAAATTGCAAGGCGGGGTAAAGTTTGGAAAGCGTGTCACTATCAGCCAATGATTAAAGGCCAATCTGATATTGTCATATGATTAACAATCGATATCTTAAGGATGTGTCTAATGTATATAGATATATCAATTAGGCTTAAGGCTTGATAGCTTTGATAAAAAAAAATATTCAAGACTTTGAATTACTAAATATCCTTTAGGACAAGTTCTAGGAGATCCAGCAAAAAAAATAAAAACATAATGCTTAGAAAGAACCTACCTGCTAGTGCCTAGAGTAGTTAGTTATTTTATATTTGTTTATTATACCATTTTGTTTTTCCGAATTAATATATTATGTTTTCTGTTTCGTGTGTAAAATTTATTCATTTGTTGTGCATTCTTGTCAATTAGGGTCACCTGTAGGACCCGGCAAACGTTGTTTTGACATGTATATTGTATATTATTTCTAGGAAACATTTTTTTTAGTTCAATAAAAATATCTATCTACTATAATAAAAAATAGGGGTTGATCGTAGAAGGGTCAAAAATTAAGGGTTGTATGTATTTTTGTATGCTGTAGATAGCCCATTCTCAGACTTACTGAATATTCATAAAAAAAAACATAAGAATCAGTCGAGCCGTTTCGGAAGAGTACTGAAACGAACATTGTGACACGAGAATTTTTATACGAATTTTAAATACTTTCCAGCTTTATGGATATGCGTTTATAATAATGTAATATTATGTATTAGGTATCAAAACGTGTTTTATCTCTATATTTATCTTTGGTTTTTTGTATTGAGTGTATTATTTTTTAAATCTTTAGTTTAATAATTTAGGTAGCCTTTGGTGTTTTCAGTACATTTAGTTAATGTAATAATCAATAATAAAAAAGTAAATGCATTCGAGAAATAACTCAGTGGCGTTACAACTATTGGTTTTCCCCTCAGATTTGCGTGACCGTGGATCAAATGTATGTAGTATGTATACTCTAAATTTACTTAGTTGATTATTCGTTTACCTAACTGTGAATTATTCATAAATCAAGCGAATTTATTATCGAAAAGCTTATCTATTATAACACTGTAGACAGTTAGAATAGTGTAAGACAGTTTGTACATTATGCTAAGAGGAGATCTTCTCAGCTATTTGCAAAAGATTTTGCATAACTTAGACTTTGAACTTTGTCCTCGTCTAAAATAAGCAGCAATTACACAAGAGTACAATAGTTAAACTTTGAACAAGATGTTAGAAATCAGTATTTTTATAAGATTCTGATACGGCAATTCAATATTGCATATTATACAACCTGGATGGAATAAATAATAAGCTTCTATCTATTATATTCTATCTATATTATACATGTGGTAATTGCTAATCTGTAGAAAATATTACCACTCATTGACGGTTTCATTATTTTTATACGGGTAGAAATGGAGCGACTTTAAATAGATATACTATTAATTATTTTAGTTTTAGTTATTATTACTTTTTTATTTTTGTTTTATGGTTGCTTGTTTAATTTTTTAATTTTTTGCTAGCGTGCTTATCTCTATTGATATATGAACACAATCCGCGAAAATAGAGGACACCGTGAGCCATTTCTGCCAAAACCCTCCATCTTTTAGTCGATACCAACTCCGGGTAAACAAATACAGATAATACAACTTTTTCTACAGCTGCGATACTTTTTGACATTCAACACCTTTTGTCTTCAGTCACCGGGACTACGCACGCTGTAAAGCACGCGAAACGTCGGTTAAATTTAAAATTATGAAAAATAATTGTAAATACATAACTTCAATCCGGTAAAAAATTGTTTTCTTATCAAATGTGCGAAAGTTATGTCAATAAAAGACAATACTATGTCATATTTTCTTGTAAAATTTATGAACGTTGTTTTAGAACTTATAAATAAATAAATTATATTTTGTTTTAATTTTAGAATTTGGTGTCTACGGTGTTCTACAGGGGGTTGCCTGCATATAGAACCTACTCGTATATTCCAGATTATAGGTTCATAGTTTCCAGGATCAGGTTCAGTGATTTCTTCTTTAGAGAAATTACATTACTGACATTAAAAACAGAAATCATTGACTCTGCTCGAATAGAAAAGTAGACAATCTCTATACTAAAACTATAAAAAATTGAGCTTTTAATCGCAAGATAAGAAAGAATAAAAATATTTTGCTAAACTGTTCAATATACTTATAACGAAAGCAAGTTTAAAATGTATTTGCCGTAGTTTTATTATCACAGAACAAACTGAAGCTATTCGAGCGAAGATATTGGATCCTAATTTTGAATGGGACCGAAACCACACCTGCGCTCGCTGTCTGATGTACGCGAATCGATTGGTGCACGGCTCTACCAATGTTATGACTTTTGTTTGTTTTTCAATTATTTTCCTGATATAGCGTATAATAAAAAGTATACGAGAGGACATTGTGACGTTTTTCAGTCACACGAACAGTTGATAGAACGCTTTTTTGATATGCTATGTATTTGGTAAGTTTAAGGCTGGATAGAATGGTAAACTGGCATTGCTAAAAACGCAAATTGGTAGGTAATTCCTATAGGAGTACACTTATATTTAATTAGACATCGAAACCCAGCTGGTTTTAATTCATTAATGCTTTACAAAACTCAAAGCTAAGTTATGTTAGAGAATTTCATTTTGTTTCAGAAAAAACTTCAATTCACCCGCTTCCATATAAACTTTGGTTTGCGTTTCGCATATCAACTAGGTTTTCTTTAAGCGTTCCTTCGTAGATGTAAGAAAACATCGCACACAAGTTTCCGTCATAAACTCGTGTGCACCTTTCTGAATGTTAATGAGATTATTAGGGAAGAAATCTGCGTGTGATGATAAAGTTTTAACACTTATTTAGGTACATTTCTACGTTTAGTCCCGTGACCCAATTGCTTACAGACAAATTCGAAGTCTGTTTCATTGATAATTTTAAGGTAGTAAATGATCAGGAGATGGATGGGTCATATGCTACGGAGCTCCTATGAAAAATGGAGCAAAATAGTGACGGAATGGTACCCTAGAGACGGAAAACGAAGAAGAGGTCGACCACGCAAGAGATGGGAGGACGAACTGAAACTAACAGCAGGCTACAACTGGAGAAGAGTCGCAAAAGATAGAGAACAGTGGAAAGGGTTAGAGGAGGCCTTTGCCAAGAGGCACACCGAACTCCGAGATATACTGGAGTGAAAATATATTAAAGTTCATGTATATAAAATCACAGAGTTTCGGAATTATAAGGCTATATTATTATGATATAAGTGATCAACTTAGGGCGGGATATTTAACACACAAAATAACACTTGAGCTCGATTAATTTAAATAGAGTTTGACACGTTTTTACGATTATAAATCAGTCGAGAGTCTTAGAGGAAATTGATTAACATGACTCACCAATCTAAATGGAAAATCAGTGTGATACTATTTTTTTGACAAACGGTTAAGTGTTGTCTGATCTAATATATTTATTTTTAAAGTTTACCACATCATATAATATACTGCTATCATAACCTTTACTAAATATATGACAATTTTCGTGACAATAATTTAATTTGTTAATTTCGCGAAGAATGAGGTGCCTGAAGGTTGGTTTTTGCAGCCTAATATTTTAGTCTGCATATTTTTATAAACAGTTCATAGATTGCCACAATTAGATTGCCTAAATGCCTAAAAAAATCTTCATAGTCCATACATAGATAGCCATAGTATACTATAGATATATTATAATGTCTGCAAAATATGGAATGCAAAATGATTTCGCGGTTACATCATCTGTGGACAAAGTTTTATCAAAATGTATTGCGTGAATGCAGTTTAAAGCACACAGTGAAATTCTGTATGGCTTATAAAGTGATTTTGTGAAGTGTTCTCTCGTCCAGGCTCGCGTTATAATTACGGTAATGTTCACACTCGTGCGTTGTATCGCGCCTAGAGGGCTCAGGATAATCGTGTTATTGCATTACTTGTAACTGCACTTTCCGTGTAAAATTTTACAGGCATTGTATGAACACAGATTTAAGGTAAAAATAGGTATTTCATAAGTATTAAGGGGATTAATTTATGTCCATAGTAGATCCGTTAAGCGATAAGCGAACCAAATGTGATTTTTGTATTATTTTTCTTTCGTTTACTATCTGCTATTGTAAATAAATAAGAAGTATTCCTAAATTAAAATTACTATTCTATTTAAGTAAATGTTCTTAGTCTATATTGTGTTACGCATCGAGTCAGGAAATGTTTTTTTCTGTTCTTATTTTAAAAACTATTCGCAATATTATATATGAGGAATTTTAAGCAGAAAACAGTTTTTAATATTTTTTGTTTATTGGGTATTAATAATATGATATTAAATAATAGTATGGGTGACCCAAGATCTAGTGCTTTCCTCGCTCAACGAAGAAGAATCGCAAAAAAGGCTGCGGCCAGCATTTTAATGCTGCTTTGGGTACAACTGCCACAGTGACCGAATTTTAAAGGACTTAGATCTTTTTCTTATTGTTATCATGATGTAGGTTAGAGATATTGTAAATACTGTACCATATGTGTGTTGCAAATAAATACTTTGGTAAATAATTTAATGTATTGAAAATTATAGAAAGGTAGAAAATATATTTTTCAAAACTGCGAATTGTGTAGAAACAAAAAGCTCATATTGTATAAAATGAGGCAACATAAGAACATTGTTATAATTCATTGGGTACGTGTGACGAAACAGGTTTCAATTTAAATGGGTACAATCAATAAGCGGGGCTTATCACATTCATTCGGGCGGGATAAATGCGATGTATTTTAAATCTGCTATACAAATTGTCCTATTGTTATGCGCGACCGGTAACAAATACCTTTGTTTCATTCGATACAATCACTTTCCTTTTATTGCTCTTTCTCACTTCGATAAGCTCCGCGTCCATTGTCTATTGTTGATTTTTAATAACCGTTGCAGGTGAATTTGCAGTGTAAATAAAAATGCAATCAAATATTTCACTATGTGAATGAATTCTCGTAGAACGGAAACAAAAGAAACTCGATGGGGCAAGACTGTCGCAGTTATGCAGTGAAGTTAGCAACAAATAAATGTAAATGATTGGTTTTATAACGCAATTGATTTTAAAAACAATATACAATTTCGTCGCTTAGCTAACAATACCCATAGTGATTTGTTTTCGAGAGACAACTTATTACTTTAATTTTGTAATATATGATAAAAATTTTTATTGTATTTATTAACATGATAACTATAAAAACAAATAAAAGAAATATGTCTTATTATAATTTTCGACTTGACATTTTACTCTAAAATAAAGACTTAGGGTGTTTTTACCTTTATTTGCTCTTAGTCTTTTAGAAAATCTTTCTAGAAAAACTATCAAATAAAAACATTTTTCAACAGTTTTATAAAACTAATTATTAACTTCAATAAAATAAAAAAGATTGCTAAATTAGCTTTTAAAAAAAAAACACATTTTCTTTTATTTTTTTTCCAACAGGACAACCCTTGCCGGTTCGTAATATTATAATATATTATAGGAACTCATTGACTTTTACGACTTACTTTTGAGAGATCAACTACTTACCTACTGAGATCAATAAAAGTATCTAAGTTACAATGGAAACCAGAGCAAACCACTGCTTTGTAATTTAGGTAATTTTTTCCATGACTTCTAATAATTCTAAACTCTCAAAACTTTAATAAATGGTACATTTAACACAAACAATACAAGACAATAAGAACACTTCGAATACTTAACCTACTTCTAATAATACATTTTTGGATCTAATAATGAAAATATTTAATTTTTATAAGGTAACTCATCATAATATATCAGTTGAAGGTATCACTCCTTTAAATTGAGATCCTTATATTTTTTGGGAAATTGGCAGTCTTTCAGAAAATAATTTCGCACTCTTCTAAATTTTAATTGGTAATTTTATTGACCTGAGGCAACGGCTGCAAAGGTTCGTCAAATTTAGCTATACCAAATAGTTCCATCTGTTTATATTTTAATACCCTTAAATTAATATATTTTTCCACGATGTTTTGTAAATTAAATTTATAAATTTAAAAAGAAATTTAATAATGAACTATATATATCTCTTTTTATTTATAAGAAGTAAATTTCTTTTCCCTTTATTTGATATTAAGATCATTCCATCTGTTACCTTTTTTAATTTTTGATTTTTAACTTTTTATCTATAGAGAAGAGATTCTTAAATATTTATTTTTGAACACCTCAGATAAATATTACTTAATTTTCTATTTAATTATCTTTTATCCACATAATCGAAAAAGAACTTCAAGGAGATTTGATTCATCGAACCGTAGCAGAAGCTTCATTTGACAAATTATATGTAAAATTTAACAGATAAAATTCTTTATATATCACTAACCTGAAGTAGGACTAATTTTACTATTGAAATCTTGGTAAATACATACACTTTTTCCTCTTTATTTTTTCTTTTCTTTCTTTCTTTCCTTTTATTGCAATTTTATTTTATATTTCAACTTTTACCACAGATAATGATTATCTTTTTATAAACAGACTAAGATTCTTTTTAAGAATAATTTCAAAAACCCTACGACTAAGACATTTTAAAATCTAATTCATTTACTGATTTCTTTGTATAATTTCATTATAAATACTGTTCTAGTATTCTATATTTCTCGATAACATGGATTTGGGCTATTAAAATTTAACTTACATAGTTTTTTGAGCAATCTAATTCGAGAAATTAAAGTATACACAATTTTTTAATATCACAAACCATTCTTTAATACCCATGTATTTAATAACATTTTTTCTCTTTCTCTTTTGTATATAAGTAATAACTTTAATTGATCAACTTTGAAAAGTTGTGTATCATTATCGACATTTTTCCATTTTTGTTTGTAAAATATAATATAATTACATTAGAATCATTAAAAACTTATCCTAATTATATGATAATACCACAGAGTCAGAAACTCAAAATAATTTAATCATTGATGAAACCAAAGAGAAACGCCTAACTCAGAAACTTTATTCCACACCTTAATATTATTTTTTAATAATTATGACTATTTTTATTATGAATATTTTTTTTTATTACTTAACTATCATTTAAAAATCTTTTAACAAATTTATAGTGGATAAATTATTTTTTTTTTTAGAGCTGATTTTTTTATTTTTTGAATAATTTATTACGATATTATTAGAGAGTCTTGAGGGAAAGTAATCTATATGTTAACTATTTGAATATGACTTGTTATTTTATGCTTGTTAATTTTCGTGATTTACTTGTATATAAAAAAATCTTATAGTGTTTTAATACGTCATATAAAGCAGTTTACTTTAACGGAATTTCATTCCCGTCGGATGTTAGCAACAAGGCTGTTTCTAGTTCCGTGAAGATAGCAACGAAATATACGTATATGGTGACAGTAAAGATGACATTTTGGTTTGTGTCAGTTAACGCAATTGACTTTAAAAACAATATATTTGTTTATTTCCGTGATTTATATAAAAAATATTGTAGTGTTTTAATACGTCATCGAAAACAGTTTACTATAACTGAATTTCATTAACGTCGGATGTTAGCAACAAGGCTGCTTCTAGTTCAGTGAAGATAGCAACGAAATATGGTGGCAGTAAAGATGCCATTTTGGTTTGTGTCAGTCTCAGAGTGTCCCAGGACCCTATCAATTGCGTACATGTGATTTCACTCAATTTTTGAAACTGACGCGCCCTCACCGCAGGGAGGGGCGCATTACTCAAACGACAGATTATAATACAAAACATTGATCATGCCTGGAGTTTTACGTTACAATAATTATTATTGCGGCACAAAAATTACTTTCACGCTCAATCATTGTAAATGTTTTAATTATATTTTAGACGGCTCATTGGTCTAGGGGTTAGTACCCCTGACTGCGAATCCATGGGTCCCGGGTTCGATCCCCGGGTGAGACAAACATCGATGTGATGAGCATTTGGTGTTGTGCTTAGGTCTTGGGTGTTTAAATATGTATTTATATATCTATCTATCTATAATATGTATGTATATCCGTTGCCTAGTACCAATAACACAAGCTTCACCAGCTTAGCATGGGACTAGGTCAATTGGTGTGAATTGTCCAATAAAAAAAATAAAAATAAAAAAATATTTAAATTTAAAAGAAATGTTGGTTATTTTTCGTCTATTTTTGTCGTAAATTTTGCTATCAAATTTAATTTTGTATTCGTTTTCTGACCTACTCAAATGTGAAAATGCTAATGCTGTGGATTTACTCCCTAAAAAGGCCTATATTTGCCATGAATCTAGCTAAGATAGATAATAAAATAACAAAGAAACTGCACAATCAGGTATGTCAAATTAGCATGCATAACTATTTATAGTACCAGTACGTCATAACATATGTCAAAAACTTTAGAACAAGAAGTCCTTCCCAGACACACAATGCCTTCAAAAACCTCATCACTTTCTATTTGAAAGTGGATCTCTTACTTCTGAAACTACTATAAAGAGGTAACCTTTTAGTCCCAAAATACAGATACTACATGGAATAAATACAGCGTTCTCTGTATTAGTTTGCTCTGTGGTCGGCTAGTATCGCCAATCGTATTCAATACTTCCTTCCCCACAAACGTAATATATTTTCAATTTTCAACGTTTCCGCTCTCGGTTTTTGACTTTTAATACGATTTATCGTCACAAAACTGTATTTTTATGTACCGTGTAATAACTGTTATTGATTTCGAATTGCGGTTGTTGTAAGTGAAATCATTTTTCATAAAAGTTTTACAGTTTTTCGACTCTTTCTTCGTCGTGTCTGTTGTCGTGTCATTCAATCATTTCTCATTCAAATGCAGCTTTGGGTATATGTTTATTAAATTTGTTTATAGTTCCAAATTTTTACACTTGAGGATTTGAGTTTAATCTCTTGTTTTCTAAATAAATTTCATTTATCGTATTAGCATAGTTTGTAAGGATAATGTATACGTATGCATATCTAGAATAATAAATAAATAATTCACACGTAGCTCTTTGAAAGAAAAACATAACAAATGTGTCTAGGGGAAATTATATACAATAATTTTAAGAAACGTGTTAAATAATGTTTATTTACGAAAATATATTTAAAAAAATATTTTTTTGTAATTGTTACTCGACGTATTTGATAAGAAAAGCTAGAGTTTAAAGATTGACTAAAACATTATTTATTTCTCAATTTTCGGATTATTAAATTATTTTAAATTGAACGAAGGGTCAACGGCGATAAAATTTGTTGAGGGTCCAAACGATACATCATAAAATTATATGAAAGTCAAACGCAGGAAGCTGAGAGGTGAACAGAGCACAGAAATTTATTGCCGTGTGTTCTCGATGGCCTTTGTGAAAAATCAACTTTATCGCTTGAAACGCTTTATTAGTGAGACTATTTAAGGTCAAAATCCAACTTAAAAGCTTGTAAAATTTTAGCGAAATTTACCAATTAAAAAAATATCGAATTTATTAATTATTAATTAATTACAATTAATCTGCTTGCAATACTTGCACTCTGAAATTTACAATATGAAAAATGCAAAGAATCTTTTATTACCAAAATCGACTTAAACGAAAATTACAAGTTTGATAATGTTCGGTATACTTTTTAGACTAAACTAGAAATAGTTAACCATTGTCACATAATCCTCTTTGTTATAAAATTGGAGAAAAGTTTAATAAAAAATTGTAATTGAAAAAACAAAAAAAAAAATGTTATGGAATGAACTATTAAGTTTGTTATGGAAGAGCTTGGACTGGTATTTTTGAAAATGGTTCCCAAATCTTACACATTTTTTTATTATTACCATGAACGGATTTAAGTCCTAAACGAATTCTCTATTTAAAATTTATTTCTATTAAAATTTTTAGAGATACGAAATAGGTAACATAAAATTGTCATTGGATAGCGTCTTTACGGAGTCGTTCAGTTAGAAATACCTTTTGCAGCGCTGGGAAAAATCTGTTCTCGTCTTACGGCGTCATTTGGAATCAGTATCCGTGAAATTTGTCGCGGTTGCCAGCGTGAAGTTACTTTACTAGGATGCATCTAAAGGAACTGTGAGACGTGATGCGTTGTAAACGAGGATTTTCGTTTGACGTATTGTTATTTGTGATGATATATGGGAATGGCTAAATGGAAATGCGAACATAAAACCCGGAAGCATTGGAGCAACGTAAATACGGGAATTCGCGGAACAAAGAAAGATGCCGTAGTATATTTTTTGGAATTGAATAATCCAATAAATTGATTGATAATATTAACTGCAAAAATATCTAACGATGTAGGTTGGTTTTATTTAGTTCGCTATATTATAACTACCAAGAACAGTGTTGGCCTAGTGGCTTTGTGCGACTCTCATCTCTGAGGCCGTAGGTTTGATTCCCTGATGTGTACCAATGCACTTTCTGTGCGCATTTAACATTTAGTAAATGTAAAATTAGAAGCATTTAATGTATATTTCTTTTTTGACGTTTATAAGTGTACATGGTATACCTATATGAATAAATGATTTTTGATTTTGATTTTTTTTTGAACATTCGCTCGAATATTGAAGGAAAACATCGTGAGGAAACCGGCTTGCCTTAGACCCAAAAAATCGGCGGCGTGTGTCAGGAATATGATCACCTACTTGCCTATTAGATTGACAAATGGTCATGAAACAGATACAGAAATCTAAAGCCCAGACCGACCGGTAATAAATACAATAATAATACTACCAATGGCGTATAGTCTTGCAATTTTTTTTATGTTAATGTAACTCGTAATAAATCATTTCTTTACCATCAACATAGTTATTATAAAGTTATTTTAGAATGAAAATAGATCTCGCAACCTTAATTTCTTCAGTATTAAACACTTTCTGATGTTATGGTTACAATCTGATACCATCTTGCACTTTTAGTTTGTAGCATATGTAACCTGTTGAGATCTTTGGCGAGTGTCCAATGAAATTGATCAGCTAAGTACTTCCTAGATAATAGCCATAAATCTTCGCTGTCATCGGCGATAAAAAAGTTAACAAAAGTGGGGTAAATGACAGGTTCTGTATCTGTATTAACTAGTAGGCACTTGTTTTGCTAAAAGTTTAATAATTTTTTTTAAATGTATTTAAAAAACATAGACCCACACTTCAGCTAAAATAATCATTCCCTCCGAATGATGTTGCAGATGTCGTCAATGCGTTTTGTTACTATTAGATAATTTAATGGACTTCTCTGAGTTACTAAATAGTACGACAGTAAGTAATATGTGAGCGATACTTGTAAGAAACAATGTAGTCGCGTTAGTACCTAACGCGAGTGACTAGTTTTATTAGGTTTATTTTGATTTCATTTTTGTACTTACGTATAGTACCCAGTCCTTAGGGCTATGTGCGTTGGTGCCGCAGATGTAGAGTCGAGACCCATCACCCATTGGTTGGATGACACGGATATGATTCCGACAGTCGAAATGCTGAAAAAGATATAAGAAATATTATAACGAATAATACGAAAGTTGTTTTTACTTTTATATTTTTCATTGCGAATGGTGTTTATAAGTTGCTATGATAAACGTTGCTTGGAGATGAATTTATTACTTTCAAGTATAATAATTAATTTCTGAAAAATATCACAGTCGAAATAAAAAGTTTGTGTTGTGAACAATGTGGGTAGAAAAATATATATACAAAATAATTTTAAGAGTAATGATCTCATTACCCACTGGCAATTTTACTTTTAATTAGATTACTAATACTACTTCATGTCATCCAATCACAATTCTACCTGTGCGTGGACTGACGGAGAAAATTAGTTTCAATCTCTCGTCCGACCGCAACAACCACATTCCATTAGATTGTATGTTGCTTTTGCAATATGGCAAAATATAGCCAAACAAAACAACATAATGTTATATTTCAACTAAACAAATTCAAAAAAATAGTTTTCAGAACGCGCTTAACAGTACGAAGTTAAAAATCGGTTCAATCTTGTTTACTAATTAAGATGAACACCGAACATAAACAAAGAAACTGAATATTCATTCGTAAATTCACTTATATATTGAAATTATTTTAAGCATCATTTTGTTCACTAAAACGAACAACGCACACTCCTGTCACACGGAATATTAATGTCCCGTTCAATATTTATGTTGAACGCAAATTTACATAATCACGGCCAGTGAGCGTTCGCCCACTCTTCTGAATTACTATTATTGCAATAAAATTTTCGATGCATCGAATATGTGCGGTTCCTTCATTACGGCGTTTTATCGGCGCTGGATTGTCACATCAGCATAATGCTCCATAAAAGTATAGCTAATTCTCATTTCGCGAAACGTAATCCCAGTTAGTAGTTTTCCCGTTCGTGTGAAAATAAACAATTAGGCCGAGTTCTTTGTTCGCTCGTAAAAACTTGCGCCACACTTTCGGCCTAGCGGAGGTAACTTTGCGAGAGATTGTTCTAAAGTAATTATCGGATTAATATAGTCGAAGCGATTCGTTGTACTGACGCGCGCAAAAGTGTTTTACGTTCGGAAACAATCAGAATTAAGAGAACAATCAAGGGCTCACGTCGGAGTTTCTTTTAACGGTACTTAGCCGGGCGCTCGCATAACTTCGAACTAATGCTTTGGATTGGTCCATTTTGTTAATTATTCGCCACTTTGTAAGTCGATTTACGACTATGCTTCTTCTCTTTTTTACGGAGTGGTTTTTAAGTCGAACTAATATATCCGTAATGTCTTTGGTGATACCTTTGGAATGTTTAAATTGTTAATGTGATTGTAAATTTATGTACGGTTTTAAATTAAAGAAAGAAATTATAGGTAGAGGTTAGAACATCTGTTAGAAGTAAGAATAATTATTTATACGATTATAGAAGTGTATTTTAATATCAAAGAATGTATAAAGTTGTACAAAGCGAATGTAATTGATATTAAAGTAAATTTTTAAAGATCCTTGACACAAAAGGCTTTTAATGAAGCCTTTTATCCCACGATTTTCCCAGATACGATCACAAAGAGCAATGACTTAAAACAACAAGAAGAGTGTCGAACGGCCAACAGAATTCGCCGACGGCGTTTCCCAGCCTTTTTCATGTTACATCGTGTTTAGAGAAGGGAAAACTCGTAGACAGCGAAACTTTGATTATAGCTTTCAAGGAGTGGATGTTTTCGCGATCGAGGTGAGATACTCGAGTATAATTCTTTTTTACAACCTACTTTTATACTAATAAAAGAATTTATTTTTTCGTCCCGAATCGAGCGGGTAGCATGTGGTCTATAGATTTTCTTGCAATAGAAAAGTTTCGACTTTTATTTGCTTTCGGCTATATTTTGTGGATGTTTGAAGTTGCTTTTAGTTTTAGACCGAATTGTGAGCATTGCGGACCGTTTTTATTGGAAGTCAGAGAACAGATTTAGAAAACTTTTATTTGGTTATATTTTAAATGAATTTTATTTTAGTTCTTATTTAAAACTGAATGAATATATAATAAAAACGGTAAATATTTGTTTTACGTAATAGGCAAACGAGCAGGAAGCTCATCTGATGTTAAGTGATACTGCCGCCTATGGACTCACATTGCCAGAAGGCTCGCAAAGGCGTTTCCGACCTTTCAAAATTTATTCATAATCCTTTAAATATATTAAACATCTCAATATAATGATAAATAATAACCAATCTTTATATAATTCAAAAGAAAATCCCTAATCGCCTTTTGTACTCTTCAATATTTTAAATAGGTCCATTGTAAGGCAGTTTTCAATATACAAGAGATCGATTTATAAATAAAATCTTTATATTCAAAAAAAATTCAAAATTCAAAAATCTTTATTCAATAACAAGTTACATTTTTAACAGATATTGGAGCCCCTGAACTAAGTCTGGGGAGACCTGTACATCAGGGTACTCCTCTCTTCCAATGGTATAACGAAATATATAGTATAGAACAAAGTTTCATTCCGTCATATATACGCTTAATATTTTAAAACTGCGGCTAAATGCGTCCAGGCAAGAGCTAGCAATAAAAGAATTAGCAAGAACAATAACTCATAGGTCGTGGTACCCACGTCCGCCCAATCTCCAGAACCAGGGTGTAACAGAAATAAAACAAATATTGCTCCTACGTCGCGATTGTAAATCAAAATTAACGGCCTTAATATAGCGAGTAGAGCTTTAAGCTCCCGCAATGAAATATGCGCCTCCCGCCGCTCACCGTTAAAAATGAGATTAAATCTTGATGGAAATAGTGTTAGTTATGTGCAATTTACCGAATATGCACCTAATTGAACGAATAACTTTGTTCTTGGTTTTTTTAATATTTTTAGATCTTATATATACAGTGTAATTTCTTTGATATAGAGGGTGTTCGTTATAGGGAGAGAAGAAAAAAACACAAAATTTAACCAATTAAAATAATTTATATATATATAATAGATAGGTGACAATGGTGCGTTTAGTAACTGAGACCAAAATTTCCTACAGGCAATGTAATGTAAGAATAATGGCACACGTGTCAATGCAATTAACAATAACAAAGGCGAGACGGCTGTTTATGACCTCAGATGCCTTTTTGGAAATTTCGGCACCTCAATTGGTTAGTTTTGTAATCTGATTATAAAAACAATTACGCTTAAGTATGCTGTTGATGTCTAAATATGAAAATATTTCTTATGCTGTCTTAGGCTGTTGCGTTATAAAGAGTGGATGAATGTAAGGGTTTTGTGTTAAACCAACCAATTTATATATTTTTTACATTATTGAGAGATTTATTTACAGCGAATAATGTTATAAAGACTTGACATTGTATATCTAATTATATTTAATTTTTTTACAAATGGCGCCGTGAGTAACTGCGTTTCTAAGGTGTGTAATGCAAATCGACGATATGTGTCAAGCTCAAATGTCTGATAACCTACTTGTGTATAAAGAAGAACGACCAACAAAATTAATGAAATCCTAGGCCTAAACCTATCTAGTGTACAACCATTTGGATTATCATTATTCTGTTTATTGTTAAAATACTACCTATGTATAAGGTTACATAGTACATAAACTCATTTAGAATTTATTCAGTATAGTATGTCTAAGCGTAAAGGAAAAAATTAAAGGTAACCACAATTATTTGTCGCTCCATTAGATTGACATTTGTAAATTAATGATCGTATGTTACACATAAACCCAGTGTAATAGGTTTTACTATTGTTTTGACTAACTTTTTAATATAATTCTTTAATTTAAGCAGCACAATAACACTTTATTTTAACACAATATCAGGAGAGAAAAAACAAAAAAATTTGAACTTCATTAACTAAATAAAAGACAACCTTAAAACACATGCAACTTAAACTTAACTACGTAATATAAATAAAAATAAGATACTGCATTTTGTTAACGCAAATGTAATAAGCAATTTCTAATTACCTCTGATTTCCCTTTTGACACACACTGCGCCACGTTACTGGGCTCCAAATTTATCGCGTCTCTCTGAAACAAGCAGGGTTTGTTGTTAAGAAGTAATTAAACTAGCAAGTTAATTCTAATAGGAGTAGTTATTAGGAACTGGATTTAAATTGCCTTTATTCAAACGAAAGATATATACACATATAAGAAATATAAGCTATCTTTGGGCCACGTGAATACGTGTAGTAATTTTAATACATATTTATTTTGCATTTGGTTTTGGATTCAAGCATCGTATAAAAAATCTGACGTTTAAAAAGAGTAGCGGAGTTTTTACTGCCAGTTCTTCGTGATCGTTTTACGTCCTTTTATGAGAATCATTATGTTTTTAATAAGAATTCAATGTAGTCTAATTTCATTTATTAATTAATAATTCTTATAAACACATACCTCACAATGTGATGCGCTGATATTGTTCATGTTAAGTCGATATAATCGGTCCCTGTAACAAATACGTAACATATAAATCTTCTATGGTTTAAAAGTATCTACTGGAAAAGCCTCCTCATACATATCAATACTTCATTTAGTCTTAGGTTTATTATATATTTGCAGTTACATTGAAATTCATTGTAAAGTGTTCAATATTATCAAACACAATTACTTATACATCTAAAAAGTACAGCGTTAAAACTGAAGTTTCGTTTCATAGTATTTTTCAATGTTATTTCTGCATAAATATGTATGTATATATAAACTTACATCGCACCAACGTAGAGTGCATCACGCTTTGTGTCGACAAACAAAGTTCTGTAGTAAAGAGTCCCACATGAGAATTCGCGTACATGATCTGTGGACAAAAATATAATATTTAATTAATTTGTAAATATAAGATGCTAGGCGTATTAATTTAAACAATGAGATTTGATTCCAGGTTACAAGTCTTAACATTTTTATTAAGTCGTCGTTCTATACGTCTGCGTATACATTTTAGTCTGTATTATTATTTATTTATCTCTCAGACAAGTCATTATACGATTGAGTAAGAAAATTGTCTAATAGCAGGGTTGGCCAGGCTTGTGGACGCCTCTCAACCGTGAGGCCGTGCATTCATATCTCATCTTCACCAATGGACTTGTCTTTCTAGGAAAACAAATGAAACGAGATTGCCTTAGATTTAATAATCGACGGCGTGGGTCTGTACATATCTATTAAGAAAATAAAACGTGTGGCCCCCGAGTGCCGCGGTAAAGCTATTGCATAGCATTTTTTATCAACTTATGCAGTTATAATTATTTATTTATTTTTTATTTATGCAGTATTTGTTTTTCTTTGATATTAATTCAAGGGTTTTCTTTGATATTATTTCAATCTACCACTCTACCAGACTCAGACTAAAACGCCTATATAGTCTGTCTCACTCTAACGCGTACCGGCTGCACCGTCCGCGCTCACGCTACGTCACCGATCTCGTCAGAGAGATGGGAATGCGCAGTATGCGTTCTGTCCCACTCTAACGCGTATTTGCCGCACCTATATTACGCCATCGTGTGTTAGGTTTTTTTCGTTACGGAATTTCTTGATTCGATAGCCGCGCTCAAAGCCCGCGATAATTTTTTTGCAATAGCTTAAAAACAATCATGATACAGATAAAGAAATTTGAGGCCAAGACTGTTAGGATGATTAAATAAAAACCCATTTTATTTTGATCTCAATTTAACATTCAATATGATCATACATATCACACCTCAATGTTTCCAATTCAAACAGCAATGCAAATTCATTCACCATTTAATGCATTCACAAAAGTTGAAAGTCAATTTGTTATGTTTACAGTTTTGATATCATTTTTTTATTGCCACGTATAAAGTCACGCACGATATCCACTATGCATCAGCAACGTTTGCAAGCAATAACAATCACGACAAACCGACTAAAACGAAAAGTGAACGAATAACTACGGACTGCAAATGTACGTGACTCGGCCATAAATATTTCCCCGCTAACGTACGTGCATAAACAACTTGATTGAAAGACTTTAAATATTGATAAACTGCGGGGTGCAACGTTTTTGAAGACTGAAGTAGGTGTAATAAAAATATAACGTCAATACAGATTTAATTAATAATTCTTTAGGTCTGACTAGGCGTGACATAGGGTATACTATTGTGCAATTTTTTTCCCAGAAAAACAATCTAGCCAATACAACAATTACAGCTAATAGGTAATATCATGTCAACTTAATTTTCTACAATACTAGTGAATAGATTAAACTAAGGTAACGTTCATAACCAATCTTAGTGTTCTGTAATGTTTTGACACTATGTTCGTGTGTCCGAATTACCGCACTTGCACTTAAATTCACTCCACTAGGTTTATTGACTCGAAAGGTTTAGTTCTCTGTATAAAGGCTTCTTGTTCCTATTGTATCAAGAAGTTGGATTATCTCAGCATTCATATGGTTATTTATTTATTTATTTATTAACAGTTCAATGGCCAAATTTAGACTAAAAACAATAAAATACAATTAGGATTTACAAAATTTACAGTACAGGGTAGCATTACCCTCTTATCCCCTCCAGGTACACTCTGAAACCACAGTAGGTATACCACCCCCATAAGCTCCCAAACAGGTCCTCTGGTACGAGTGGAAACCCATTCTTGTATATATATAATGTATCGATTATAGCTGTTAGTAACTTTGATCAGATAATCTAAAAATAGGTAAATTGGTAGATATATTAACATATTTTCTAGGTTGTCTGGAAAAATCTACCTTTAGCAGTAAGGGTTGTTTTTGACACACAGGAGTCATTATTTGCGATAAGTCTTGTTGATGTAAATAAGCTTTATGTTTTAAATTTGTTTTAATTCTCAATTTATTAATTTTTAATTATTATTACTATGTAGATACAAGTTAGATAGTTGATGGGTACTTTATTTTAGATATTTTTAACCTAATAATTATTTCACAAATCATATCTAGTTCATATTAAACAACATTAAAAACCTTCTTGTTCAACTAAATAAAATCGAAATAAGTCAAGTGAAAATTGTGTTTACAGTAGCGAACATTATGTTCTTTGTAAATACTCTTGAGAGTGTGAAGTTAAAAAAAAACCAAACACTGTCAGCGTAAGACGTCTTCGGGCGGAAGACTTTTCAATGTGTTCACCTATTTGCGTCTCGAGAATACATTTTTCACGAAGGCAGCCGTCACTGTCTCTAGTAGACGGTTCTAGAATATATTCAGTAAAAGCAATATGAATACGGCGAGTTATTTATAATGTGAAGGCTTTTACTCTAAGCTTTTTTATATTGCGGTTAATAATTTTGAGAAAAATTATGAAATATATTGTGTCAAATCTGTGTTTTAAGAAAGAAATCTCTGCTCAACCTTTTACTTTGAGTAAAGAGATATATAACTCGACGATTGGTTTACAACTATACTTGGAATTTATTTAAAAAAAAAAAGTTTGGTCTCTGTGGTAGTGTACCTTGAACTGGCAGTATTTTCTCACTGTATTGCGATACTTATTCGTTGAGCGAGGAAATCACCACCTATAACCGGTACTATCCACCAGGTGACGACTTAAAACTTTTATTAACGCCTGTGCACTTGAACCCTACGGCAAGTACTCATAAGCGATACTCCGAAAGGAACAAAATCGATTTTGGAGGAAAGATATAAGATATTTGAGCCGTTTACTGTGAGATTTAATTACAATCGTTAATACAGATATATCTACACCGTAACTTTCTAAGTAAAATGAATGTATAATTCTGATCTTTAATATTTATATTACAGTATCATTAAAAATATCTTATTAATAAATTAAATTATCCAACATTTTACTTATCACATTTCCAAGTATTAGAAATTAGTTTATTGTAATTTCGACTTTATCATAACTATTTAGAGTTAATTTAATCTGGAATATAGTGTAATGGTAACAATATTAATAAAATTAAACTTATAAACATAAACTAAATAATAAAATAATATACATTGAAATAAATAACGAAACTTAACATAAACTAAAATATATCATTAAAAGGAGTCCCTTTAGGCAAGGTTCCGAAGATACTGGCAGCGTTCCCCCTTTGAATTGCTAGACTAATTCTTTGTCCGAGGTAGCTGCCAGATCTTCGGTCTCCTGTGATGTCGACTAACCTTTTTGAAATTTCTTTAAAAAGTTTTAAAGCGCTAGGACCCCACGGACCAAGGGTCTCGACACCGAATGGGACAAAATCATATTAGAGCCCAGACCCCTGTATTTGCCTGCTTTATTTTTTTCTGCCCTTCACAAGCCGCACCAGCTCTGTAGTTGGTTCCATGTAGATGGGAAGGGGCCAGCGTGTCTGAACAGGTTGCATCCCATACCAGTACCCGACCCATCTTCCATGGAATCAAACTCATACCGTCCGTCTCTTGCCATCGTTTCTTGCAATACCACTTGGCTCAAGAAACTTGGCACGTTGACGGTGGCAAGGAACGGCGTATGATATCGTTAAGTGCGGCATTCTCGAGAAGCGCCTGCACTTTTTTGGCATGACAGGCCGTGATTCCTAACTTGTCGACATCACTGCCAAGGGACATATATGAGGAGCGCAGACCGGAACCCCAGCCGTAGACAGGTTGCGATTCGAAGCGTGTCAGGCTCAAGAAAAGTTCCTGTATTTGACGATGGGTAAGCGTGAAGCCAGTAGCCGGCCTCATGCGTGCCCACGGCCAAAAGCCTAGACGCGCCGAACCCGTACTACGACTCAAAGATCGTCAAAAGTCAACTTGCAGTGTATTATCCAGCTCCTCTGTGAATTTAGAGATAATGGAAAATTTTGACCTGGGCATGCAATCAAGAAAGGTTTTTAGCTTCTTCCAAGCCAGCAATCTCAAAGTTTGAAGGGGATGCCCTTAAAATTTTACTTATGAGATTTGTGAACTATGGAAGAAGATAGAAAGGCTGGTAAGCGACACTGAAATTTTGGAATCCCTAAACCACCATAACGGATGGGTAGGGAAGTTGGGTCCAAGATTTCTGTTCAGTGCATATTAAGAAGTGATTCTAAGTAATTTTGATTAAGTCGTCTAATGTTTAAAATATCTGGGTGATTCCAAAAGGAGAGAACGGAGCACATAGTAAATTTTGGGAGGAAAAGACAGAATTTTAAGATGCAAAGTATAATGTGGACTAATTTAAGGAGACGTCAGAGAATTTTGAAATTTAGTAATTGAAGTATGAATATAATCAGAAATAGATTCATTAAAAATTGGAGAACCTAAAAGGTAAAGGGAATTCCGTTAACTATTTTAATATTTGGAGCCAAAATTTGAATTTTTTTTTACATATTTAAATTTAAGTCGAGTTATTTATGAAAAGTTCATTTGTTAAAATTAAACTCCAAACCAATGGCTTCAAATTTATTTTTGATTAAAAGAAGGTCGAAAACACAGTATCCACATCACCTCCTAGGGTTCCGTCGTCCAAATACCAAACATTGAAATTAGAATTTAAATTTTTGATTATGGGATTTATAGCCAAACTAAAAATTGCAGGCCCAAGGGGATCACCCTGTTGACAACCTACTTCCGAGGAAAGTTCATTAGAACGATATAACAATTTAGTTGGATCAGCGTAACTGAGAAGAAGATAATTGTATATTTCCGGTATATTTGTTTTATTTCAGTAGCAGGGTATCCCTATTTACGAATTAAATGCATTTTTCACATCAATTTTGAGCAACACGTCTGGCTGTCCGTGACTTAGGAAAGAGGTAGGGCATGGACGGCTGCCTCACACCCTCCTTTCACACGAAGCCTAACTGTACAGGTTCAAATTCTGAATTTAATTTTGGTAAAATATGTCGAACAGCAATTTTGAAGCCAGACGTCTTAGTGTTGAACCAACAGAATTGGTCTCACCCTCCGTCCCTTTTAGTGAGGGCAATGAGTTGGCGAAAAGAATGGAACAATTTCTGTATTGACATCCCGAATAATAAAATTTATAATTTTGTGATCGAGTTAATAAGTTGTCGCTGCATCACCTAAGAATGCGATGTGAAATCTTTCAAATGTTGGGGTGAGATTCCATCCAATCCTGCTGCCGAACCTGGTTTAAAAGATAAAATTGCATCAGTTACATCTTTTTTCGAATTTTAAGGATGTTGCTGCTGTGGTGGGTGAGAAAAATGGGTTTACTGAGCTGGGGATTTTAGTCGTAATGTCAAGGGTTAGGGTATCTGGGATAGACGTATTGGAGAAAAAGAGAGCGGACCTTTAAGATCTCCGTCACAAATTTTGTTCTCGATGAAAACCTTGTAAAGGGACTCCTTTTAATGATATATTTTTTTATGTTAAGTTTGTTATTTATTTAATTAATATTTTATTATTATTAGTTTATAATGTATAATTTACGATTGATTATGTAGCTTTATCTTACATTTAGTCCGCGCGCAAGTAGTCCGGCTCAAAATTGTTATACTTAAATTAAATACGTTAAATGTCTTGATTAAATTAGGATTCAAAGGAAACCGAATACTCGTACCAGTACTGGAAGTTTGACTCAAGTTAATAATAACAACGTTATAAGCTTACCAAATAAAAAATAGCACCGTTGACAATGTTTCGATGTAAATGAAGTTTGAACAGAGTATGTGATGCAGACGTGGGAATAGTGCAGGTGCGAATTCAGAAATCAGTATTGCAGAGAGACACCGTTGGGACTTCGCTGCAACCTTGTTGTATCACCAATTTACATACGTGAGTTTAAAGTTTCGTAGCCTGTAAAAGTGTTCTGACACGTTGATTGGGAGTGTTGAAGTTTTATGTGTTTTGAAACCTTTACTTTTTCAAAGATTTTGCCAAAATGGATGGTTTTATAGTGTGAATAATGG